AATCTCGGATTTCAAAACTGCCTTTTTACCCCAAAAAAAAAAAAAAAAAAGAAACCAAAGGCCCCCCCCCCCCCCCCCCGGCAAAACTAGTTCGCCGAGATATCGCCTTATTGCGGAATATTTTACCTCTCCTTCAATTATTTACCATCCACGGCCTCCTCTGCTGTTTCGCCTTCTGCGTGCTTGCCTCCGCCGTTTGGCTTGCCGCTCTCCCCCTTCGCCGCACTGACAGCAACAGCAGGTTCCGCCGACTCCTCCGCCTTCTTCTCATCAGCCTTCGTCGTCGTCGTCGCCGCCGTCGATTCCGGCGCTGCCACCACCTCCTTCTCCTTCCCCTTCTCCTTCGACGCCTCCTCCGCTACCGGCGGCGTCGCGGGCTTCTGCAGCGACAGCGGGCTCGCAGTGCCGGACTTGGAGCGCGCCGTCTCCTTCGCTTTGGCGGCGGCTTCCTCGCTGGCCTGGCGCAGCGTGAGCGTGAGCCGGTCTTCGGGCTTGGACTGCGCGGAGGGAGTGCGTGAGGGCGTGCTGACGATCTGGATGTGGGGGGAGGAGGAGGTGGTCGAGGGCGGTGCGAGGGTGGTGGTAGCAGTAGTAGTAGTAGGTGGTTTGGCGGCAGGGGGAGGGGACGGGTCCGCGACGGTCGAGGGTTTGGTGTTTAATTGGTCTTTGAGTTCGCCGTATTCATTCCATTCTTCGACTTGTTCGATATCCTATATACCGTTGTTTTGTTTCGAGATTAGAATGAGGGGCGTGGCGTAGCTCAAAACAAAAAAACAACAACACTGAGAGAACCAGCAGCTTACGGCGACGATGTGGCCGTATCTCACGAGGCCCGGCAGCTTCCTGCCCTTGGACCGCGTGCTCCACAGCATGCGCGCCTTGTCGTCCGTGGCGACGTCAATGGCTCGGAACCCGATCTTGTTCACCTTCAGGATCGTCTCGAGCCGCGACGTCGCCGTGATGATGTGCGACGACCCCGCCGTCAGCGACGTGAACAGGAACAGCGTCGGGTCGTCGAACGAATACGTGGGCGAGCGTTCCGCCATGCTTGCGTCAAACAGCTGCTCAGCCGGTACAATTGCGGTATCACGGTTTCCCTCTCACTCTGTCTCTCTCTCTCTCTCTCTCTCTCTTCGCTCGTGCTCTTCGCTCACCGGCGTCGCTGGTCGTCGCCAGAGTTGGCAGTTGGACAGCTGACTAAGCCGAAACAGCGGTCACACGTGTTACGTCATGCAAGCCACCACCACGCACGCCCTCACTTCTACTACAAAAGAGGCATATAAAGCCCCTACGTGGGGCAGACGGGGGGCGGTGGGACGCGCCGGCGGGCAGCGCCTGCGACCGGGAGAGGATGGTGGGCAGGCCGCGGTGAGTGCTTATAAAGTGTCCCTGCGGGACTCAAAAGATGTCCCAACAGGGATTGACGATGCGATGAAGATCGGACGGGTTACCCCAGAGAAAGACGATGATTGGTACCAGCAGGAAGGGTGCCCGAGCTGGGCCGGGGAAGTGCTTCCGGTGTCCTGTGCGCTTGGGCACAGCGCAGTGCAGTAGCGCGCCAGCTGCGCGAAGAACAGGTGGCAGTAAGAAAACTAGAGAGAGGGAAAGAGAGAAAGAAAGGGAAAAAAAAGCCGCTCTGACATTTCTAGCCTGCAGCGGTTATTGAGGGAAATCCCCTTTTAGCGCCTGGCAGCAGCGGCATGGTCAGAGTTCCTCCCAAGACTCAGCATGCGGGCTTGGGCAGAGACGAGACGAGACGAGCGTGTTGGCACTCATCCACCGAGCAGACAGGCTGTCCAGTCTTTGCAGCCCAGCCGAGACACGGGCTGAACGGCGTCTTTCCTTCCCCCCTCCCCCCAACGCGTGCGCGGCGTCAGCGCGAGGACGAGAGGGCGTCCTTTAATAATGCCTACCACGCGGTGCTCTCTATCCGATGCGCCAAGCGGGGGGCGAGCAACACGACACGCATCACTCCCCAACGGCAACGCAACGGCAAATGGGAGTGTCTGGAAAGCACAAGACGCAGCAGCAACAGCAGCGCACCAACGGCCGGGAAACAAACGAGGTGGCACGGCGTGGCCGGGTGCAGCGGGCGATTCGCTGTCGGAGCCAAGGGCCCGCGCCGGGCCGCTCACGTGGAGCCGCAGCGCGCAGTGCAGCGCAGCCCGGGAGGGGAGGGGGAGCACGACTGGCAGACCGGCCACGGAGGGCCGGCACCGCACGGGCGAGCGACGTGGCCAGGCGTGGGTGGTGGGCTGGCGACGGCTGCTGGGCGTGGTGGTAGCGGAGGCGGGCGGGTGGTGATAGCGCACGATAAGAGACAGCCTGCGAGCGAGCGAGGAGGCCCGTTGCACACAGCCAGCCAGGTGCAACTCGTACTCGACAAAGACCGCGAGAGGCCGCGAGTACGGGCTGCGGACCACGGCTGCGTCGTACGCCGTAGCCAGTGCCAGATAAGCTCCGCACGAGCTGATCGACCGCCGCGACTGGCCGCCTCACTTTTATGCCGCCCCTGATTGGCCTGCCGCGTAGTTCCAGACTGGCCGGCTACGCTGGGCGCCGCGCGCGATCCCACACACCACCCACCAGCCTGGCCTGCCCCCCTGGCATCCCTCGTTGCTGCCCTCAGCTGGCCCCCCCCCGGCCGCCCGTGTCCGCCCGTGCAATAAAGCCGCCGCTCCCCCAGCCCGCCGTCTCCTTTTTTCCCTCAACGTCTCTCCCTCCCTCTCTTGCGCTCTTCTGTCTCCCACCCACAACACCATACACCTCTCGGTGATCCCCTCTCTCGTCGCTCCTGCGTGAGTGCTTTTGACGCTCTGTCTCAGACTCTGTCTGCTGCTTCTCTCGAGCATCTGTCTCGCTGCTCGTCGTTATTGACTCTACTCCTCTCCTCCTAGCCAGCCTCGCTGCTCCCGCTGCCAACGGCTCTCTCTGGACCCCCTCTCTCCCGGCCTTTGGTTGACTCTCGACCGCCATGACGCTCAACATCAACTCGGACCAGCTCTTGTCGTCCGCGAGAGATCTCTTCTGGACGCAGCACTCGAATCTGCCGGAGTCGAAACGCCAGCAGCTCTGGACTCAGCAGCTCAGCCAGTTCATCTGTGGCCCGACCATCTTGCTGGACTCCAACGCCAACACCACGACGACCACTGCCGCTCCCACGCTCTCTGCTTCTTCCTCTTCTCGTGCTGCTCTGGACAACTCCTCGAAATCGGGCTTTTTGGGAAAGCGCTCTGGCGAAGACGTGCCGCGCTCGCTGCCTCCAGGATCGCCCCCGACCAAACGACGAGCTACCGTAGGTCCCACTTTTTCCACGTCCTCTTGGTCATCTCTCTCCCTGTCGAGCTGCTCTGCTCTTCTCTCTCCTCCCACCGTCCATTTGGATTAACTCTGCCTTGTAGACCCCAGAGACCCATTCTCTGACCACCGCTGCGCCCGCCCGCTCTCAGGCGCGTCGCCATTCCGGTCCCTCGGTCCGGAAGCCTGGGATGGCCGCCCCTTCTCGACCATCCTGGACCCCCTCCGGTGCCGCCCGTTCTTCACAGCAGCTGATAGACGGATCGGTGTTCCTGCGAGCACAGGCTGGTCCTTCGCCGCTTCAGCAATCCTACACTCTCGCCTCGGCGGACTACTCGCAGAACGGTTTGGACGGTCTTGTAGCTTCTTCCTCTTCCCCCAACACCAACACAGCGACTTCTTCTGGCGTCTCCAGGAGTGCTACTATCGGAATGGACCTGGCGGCGACGGCGGATGCTTTGGTCTTCGATCCCCAACCCTCTCAAGGTCAATTGACCACCGGTGGTGCCGAGTCCGTTCAGATGACTCGGAGTCTGACTTCAGACTCGCTGTGCGGAGGAATGGACTTGATCACGTTCGATTCGAACAGATCGTTTCTTGAAAATCTGGACTTCCCAGATGATCAGTTGTCAACAGATTTCACTGCTCAGTCATTTGCCTATCACAATGACGCCAATTATTCGCTCACCTCTTCTCCTATTTCCCATTTTGCTTCTCGTAACATGAATCATGTTCAATTTTCGCAGTCATTGCCTGAATCCGGGTCTGACTTCTTTCGTCCTGCTTGCGCTGATCTTTTGAATCGCTCTGCCTCTTCTGCCTCTTCCAATTCTTCTGCTTCATCTGCTGAGATGAAGTATTCTCTATCGAGTCAGAGTGATGACTCGGTAGCTTCAGCTGCTAATCGAGCTCGGCGGAGGACTCGAGAGCAAGTTGTGCAAGGCACACAGAAGATCGCCCCCAAGCCTGCCAAGACACATCGGGCAAACAATGTCCCCGAACAAAAAATGGTCATCTCGTCTGAAGACGGCACTTCTCGCGAAGTCGCCGCCATCCCCAAGGCCTCCGTACAGCGGCCTTCGCGACCCAAGACGTACTGTAAATATTGCAATGAGCAGCCTGACGGCTTCCACGGCGAGCACGAGCTGAGACGACATGTCGAGCGCGTGCATGCCGTGGTCCGCAAGGTCTGGGTCTGCGTCGACATCTCGCCAGACAAGCGATTTCTCGCAAACTGCAAAGCCTGTCGCAACGGCAAGCGCTACGGCGCCAACTATAATGCTGCGGCGCACTTGCGCCGCACCCACTTCAACCCCTGCCAGCGCGGCCGCGGCGGGCGAGGCAAAGACAGCGAAAAACGCGGTGGCAAAGGCGGCGGCACCACGCCGTCCATGGATGTGCTGAAGCACTGGATGGAGCAGCGCGAAGAGATCGTCGTCGACAACGCCCGCATCCTTCTTGACAATGACATCTCGCCCGAAGAGGCTGTGCTTCTGGGCAGCCGACGCATCTCCGACACCCCCAGCGCCGCTGAGATCAGCGACGACCACCAGTCACCTCCCGAGTCGCCGCCCATGGCCGCGACCACGCTTGACAACAACAATGATAACACCAACGCCTCGACGCCCGCTGAAGAGCCGCTCGACATCGCTCACGACTTCCCGTTTGAGCTTGACGATTTCTCCCACTCGCCGCTGCACTGGGACGGCAACCCGGCTAGCGGGTACGAAGGGTTTGATGTTGTTGCGTCTTCTTCGAATCTGTTCGATTCGTCTTGTTTTGATCCTACTGCTGCTTTCATCCCACCCCAGCCCATGAGTGCTGAAGTTGGATCGTATATTCCTATCATGATGTAGAATCGGTTCGACGACCTACATACGTTGTACCAGTTGTGTTGATTTCGTGCTTCTTGTTTTATCTTTTTTCTTCTCTCTCAACTCAACTTGATGGCATTTTTCTTCCTTTCTTATATTGTCTTTTTTTACCTTTCTGATTTTCTTCTTCCTCTTCTTATTTTTCTTTACCTTTTGCCTTTTTTTTTCTCTCTTCGTTCTGAATGGAGATTTGTGCAGAATCTCCATTCATGTTAAAGTCTGGAATTGGAGAAGCCGATCCACTGATTGGTGACATCGTATCTTTTTTGCTGACTTTTCTTTCTACTTGCAATTTTCAAGATTGCTCTTTCTTCGCTTCACATTTTCAAGCCACCTTGTTTTCTGTGATGTTGTTTTTTTCTTTCTTTTTCTTTTCTGAAATCTGTGTGTAAGATGCCTTTTTGTCTTATTTGCAGGTTTGCTTGCTGCTGTTCAAAACGCCTTTACCACTCTTCTCGTTGGTAAAGATAATAGCTGCTGCCTTTTTTTACAGCATACGACTTTTTCCCTGGCGGCAGGCATTTTTCTGCCGCCTTGTTCGGTCCATTTCTTCTTTGACATATCGTGTTTTTATTTTATTTTATTTGTATTTCTTGACATCATGACCAGATTTTGATATAATGAACTTCGTATCTTCACTGTGTATGCAACCCCACGGCTGCACGACATGGGGCGGTCCGCCGAGTCGCTTGACGCGGGACCAGCCTTTCAATAGTGTCTGCATCCTTTTTTTAAGGCGTGCATGTCGTCCCCAGCCAAGGGTAACATTCTCAAGCGTGAGTGATGGGACTCCAAGCCAGCCAATCGGGCGGCAGTCGCGCCCAACCGCCCCGTTCGCACCTGACCTGCCACGGTGCGTATGGCTATAAATAGCCTCGCCGGCGGCAAGCGGTGTTTCACGGACGGCGATTGGCTGGAAGCCCTTGCCTGTGGGCCGCAGCTGGCCAACCACCGCGCGCCTCTGTCGGCCCCAGCGTTCTTGCGGGCTGCAATTGGCTGTGGCGTGCATAAGCCTTCGGCAGGGCCGCAGGGATGCCAGCCAATTAGCGACCTGAACATGCCTAGCCGTCACCGCCCGGCGCGACTGCCCGATCAAGACGTCGCCAACCCGGCGCGAATCGCATGCCTGCCGTGGCGTGCGGGATCTGCGTGGGCCTGCGAGGTTGTTTATCATCTGCTCGCCGGCCCACTGTTCCTCAAGTCCCTCATCCTTCAATTCTTCCGCTTCCTGCAACGTCTCTGGCGAGCCCTGTTGATCGGGTTTCTTGCCGTTTTCGGTTCGAGAGTCGTGCTTTTTTTTAGTCTCATAATAATTCTTGTAATCTTTAACCCGGAGAGCCGGTCTTTCTCCCCAATCCTTACCAGTGCCCCCTCCTTACCGCCGTATTGCAGCAGGTCTGTCTTATCACCGATATATCATTTTCCCCTATGGCATCTTTGCATTCGTTAACACGATCGCCCTCGTCTCGGCGGGTTCGAAATGAGCGGCCCCTTAATAAGATAATGGAAAATATTCGAGAGTTGGAGGCGGAGTATCACACCCTAAAAGCCCGGGAGATCATGCCGGGCGTGCAGGGCATAGACAGTGACAAGTCCGACGGTCCCAAGCCCTGTCAGCAAAGCGAGACGTACCCCAGCATACGAGTGTCACTGCCCGAGTCGCAATACCAAGATGATGGTGGACAAAGCGGGACGTGCCATTCACTCTCGAAAAAAAAGCGACCTGAAGATTTCGACGATTTATATGACGTTACAGACGAGTCAGATCCTGAGAGTTGCCCATCCTTGTCTAGCCACGGAGAGACGAGGTCCAATAGCTCCTTTACCATTTCGGATATTAGTACCAGCAGCAGCTCAACAGGCGACCGTCGAAGAACCTTTCCCACCTTGCGTATTCCATCGTCGAACTTCAAGTCGGTCATGAAGAACTCCCCAGTGCCACCTACTCCACCACCAAAAATCCCCATCTCCCCTATGGCTCTCGCCAAATTGAACCTCAGTATTCCAGCGCTTCTTGCAACGCCGTCCCTTGCAGGAAGTTTGAGTGCGGCTTCCGATCGGCCGTCAACGTTTAGTACACCGCAAACTCCTGACTTGGGTGATGTCCCGGCTGTTGATTGGGATGAACAACATTTGCGAGTGCACGAGGTGCCGGAGTCGGTATATACGTCTGAGCCGTCAACTGCGTCGATGAGTCCGCAGGTTGATATCCAATTGAATTCGCCTCAAGATTGGAGTGCTATTCTGGGCAACTTTCCGCGAATTCCAGTCGGCAGACCCGATAGTCGACCGGCATCAGAAACCGATTCGGACCATCCTCCGTCAGTGGAGAGTTCCAATAAGGGAGTTCAGCTGCCTGTCAATGCGCTGGCTGCTCTGCGTCATTTCGATATGAAGTCGGACCCGAGCCAGAGCTCAACGAACTCTGAGGTTGGTGAGTCTGGAGAGATGCACGAATGGCCGAGTCACCTGCGTCCAAAGAGCACTAATGACGCGATGAGTGCATCGGCATATTCCGGCTCCTCGTTCACCTCACTTAGCCTCCCCTCGCCGGGTGGCTTTTTCGCGTCACTCAAAGGCCAGGCGCGCAGAACTTGGTGTTTCTCAAGTGGTAGCACTCCCACATCGGCTATAGCAGAAAGATTTTATAATATGTCTTGGGATCCTCGAGAGGAGACAATCATTGAACAAGTAGTGGAGCTTGACGATGACTTTACTGAGGGCCCATCAACGGCCAGGCCACCAGTATCAGGACCCTTGACTGCACTGAGAATTCCAGAGGAGTACACCCAGCCTACAGAGCACAGCCAAACAGAGAGCGAGGATGGCAAAAGCGAATATGATGCGGCATATGCTCGAGAATTAGAGGCCAAGGCAATGTCCAACTTCGACCGTACTACCGTTTGGCTGGCAACCCAATTGGCATACTGTGATGGAAGTGGGAAATTTGGGGCGGAGATTATCGAGAAATCACCTAAAGCTATCTCCCCCGAAAGGGATGACAACTTAAGTCTCACCCCTAACCGAAAGAAGTCGGTCAAATTTCTGGAGACTGTCCCGGAAGAGGTTCATGAGCCCCCTAGCAAACCTCTACCGATCCCAGAGTCCATTTTTTACCTTGGCTTCCAGCACCTAGTTCGCAACTCGCAACAACAAGATACCTTTCTCCAAAGCAATCTTCGATTTGAGGCAATACAAGCTGGCCGTTTGAGCTCTCCTGTAAAGCATGCCGATTGTGTTGCTGGAAAGTACGAACTAAACAATCCTGTACGACCTCCATATCGCGGGCCTTTTTCCCAATCGCCACGCAATTCGAAACTTCCCGAAACGCTTATGGAGAAAGCCATGTACTCGAACATAGAAAAAGAGCAGGATGTTTTGATACAACTGCAAGCTTCGACGTGGGCCATCGAAGCATTAAAATTTCTCAACGGTGGCCCCCTGGTACCCAGTCCCGCGGCTAAAAGGCTGTCAAAAGCTCCTCCAATAATCCAAGCTAAGGAGTCTGGGAAGTCACGAGTCAGAGTTCTTGATCTGGGCGGCCAAACGGCATGCGAATGGGCATGGCATCTTTCAACAGAGTACCCGAACGTTAAGATATACACGGCTGTCACAAAAGAGCAGGCCGTCAGCCCAGTGAGTGGCCCTGCTAATCACACCCATATCACAGTGCCTCAGCTCTGGAAACTTCCGTTCAAAGATAATCAATTCGACCTAATTTCCGCCCGGTCTCTGCATTTATTCCTAAAATCGTCTAGAACCCCTGGTTCAGAAACCATGGATGAAGTCGACATGTGTCTCAAAGAATGTTTCCGCTGCCTGAAGCCTGGTGGGTATATTGAGTTCTTCCTCATGGACTCTGAGATTGTTCGTGCTGGGACATTTGGCTCCGCAACTTCTGTGGAGTTCGGATTCAATCTAAAGACTAGGGGCTATGACCCTGCACCCACCAAGCCCTTCCTATCGAGACTTCGAAAAGCGAGATTTCGGGATATAAAACGAGCCTGGCTATTCCTGCCGATGGGCTCCCCTTATAGTGATGATACCCAGATACCAGGATCCAGTAAACCCTCGCCAACGGATCCTGAGGGCATAGTGGGAAGCACTGCAGATATCGCTAGCACTACTGGCCTCCTTGGAGGCTGGATGTGGGAGCAGTGGATGCTGAAGCTTCAGGTGGAGATGGGGCGTGACAGCAGCAGGCTACTCGAAGAAACTGCAGCAGTGATCGATGAGGGGAGGAAATGCGGTGCTGGCTGGAGGTGTCTGTGTGGTTGGGCTATGAAGCCGAAACAGCAACGGCGGGAATAGTATCGTCTTCACGAATGCGTCTCTTTTGTCTGTGGTAATGTGAGTGGTGTGGTTGTTTTGCTCCTGCGAAGTGTACACGTATTCCCCATAATTTGTTGGTCAACTTTGTAGGAAACAACGATGAAGCTCGATGGCAAGAAACACCGGCAAGCCCGATGGACTGTCAGCTAGTGGCAGTAGCACTGTGAGAACTGCCTGTTTCTCTTCTTTCCATAATTTGCGGACTCTTGTATACATGTACCAAGCGTTAACTTCTTATCATCATTCTAGTAGCTTCCTCTAAAGCCATCGCCATATGTAGGAGACCGGTACTCGTGTCTAAATGCAATATTGTGACAACACCATGCTTCTTTTCCTCTTCACTATTTGGGACATTGATTCAGCGAAGAGACTTGGTAGAATTGGTTCTCGAAAATAGGGTCAGGGCACGGGATTGATTGATTGACTAATAAATAAACTACTCCCTACCGAGTACACTGGGCATCTAATAAGTAAGAATGCATGTGTGTAGATAGTTATAGGAAGCTAGCAAAACCCCTTGCTCCCCGTTTGATATAACAAATTGCTCTGGTAAAAGCCTCGATAATTGGTTCGTAGAGCGTCTCCGGGTCCTTCGGTGTCGCTGTGAACATCGCATCATTACATATTGGAAACAAGATTCCACGCAACTTTCTACAGAGTGGCTTGACGCAGTCAAACTCTAGCGGAAACTCTTCTAGTACTGACTCAAATATGATTTTGTCCATAATACCAATTTTGGACATTGCCTTTTTCCTGAAAGAGCCAGTCTCCCAGCCCGAGAGCAAACTATCCGTTGGGCGATCTTTCGGCCTATTGACAAACTTCCAGCCACGGTGACCGCACTGCCAGATAAGCACATAGAAGAATGACTCGAGATCATGTCGATACGTATGCCAAGAATTGAGTAGCACTCCGAAGGCCATGAACTCCACGGTGCCTATGCGTGAGGGAGCTAAGGTTCGGCTGTTGCTGAGGTCCAGAGAGAGATCCATGTCGATGAGCATCCCCGCAAAGCCAGTCGTCTTGCAGTCCGTTATGATGATATTATTCTCAGATATACCACGATGAAGGATGTTGCATTGGGAATATAGGTTTCGGTGTGCCTTGATCGCGTCGCGCAGAGCTTCCAATAGTTCCAAAGTGGATTGGTATTTATATATCGGCCGACCTGTGGGATGGGTGACGAGACAGTGAAGAATGTGGTTATCATATGGATTGTCCCCGAAAAGAACCGAGCTGGTTTCCTCATTCGGATCGTAGGATATCTCGTTCCGAGGTGGGCCTGATCGCTGCCGGCTGCGCCTTTGTCGTTTGGAAGGATATATACTGACGTCGCCTGGCTTGCGTTTTCTTGAAGATCGGTCACCCGCAATTTCTGCGATGGCTAAGTCAGGAGGGCCGATGGATGGCCGAGACAAGTGCCTATGTGATTGAGATTGTGAGACTAAAAATGGGGTACTGGCTTTCCCATAGAAGGAGTACGGCTCCTTGAACGTGAGGCCTGAGCGTAGATCCTTGATACTGGTAATGGCGCAATGTGCGACCAAGGTAGCGATGCCTTCAACTCGTCTCTGGTTTGCAAGCTTGAGAAGATCGACCTCGGGCGTTCTTTCATCGGTCGTCCATGAAAACTTGGTAACGTAATTCCAATGTTTGGAGTGTAGAGCCTTCGTGAGATAGCAGGACATTCCGCGGCAGACTATTGCCTGTTGATGAATGAGAGGGTCTGGTTTCAGTTCCAGCTGTCTCGATACTTTGGCGCCATCCCGCTCAATATGTATGAAGCGATGGTTGCCGTTCCGCTTTATGAACGTGTCCAGACCCAGTTCTACCTCATTCATCATCAGATACCCAGCAATCAGAAAAATAAATCGTTGCGGCTCCTCATGTACATTAAACTGGCCAGGACTGTAGCATCCCGAGCGGTCAAAGACCCACGGAGTCATGAATGTCCAGCAGATGGTAAATGCATGAAGGTATCGGCGCGTCGGCTGATAAGCAAACACGTCTTGCGCGTATCTAGCGAGCTGAGCCAAGGTCCGCTTGAAATTTTTGCTGGACGCCTTGAGCTTTCCAATCACTTCGACGCTATTCCAGTCGTGTGTAGTATCTGATGGATGTCCGCTCCTTCGTTTAACGATTAGATCGATGTGATGCGGGGCGTTGCCACCAGTAAGCTCCCTTGAGCGGTTGATCCTGTAGTAGCGACGCCTCTCATGCAAGAGAAACTCATTTTGTACTTGGAATATCCAGAATTGGACGTCATCCTGAGCAGGAGAGTCGTGAAGACCGAGCCACTTGCCAGCGCAATGTCGGTCCTTTACCAACTCATAGACATCCCGAGCACGGTTAGTCCAGTCCTTTCCCTCGAAGTATTTCTCGTAAAATCCCTGCACATCTATATGTGTGCGGCCCTTGATCTCCTCCAAGACTCTTTCTTCGACTCCTTCTCGCATGTCTTCACTGTCTTCACTATCTTCACTATCTTCACTATCTTCACTATCTTCACTATCTTCACTATCTTCACTATCTTCACTATCTTCACTGTCTTCACTGTCTTCACTGTTTTTACTGTCTTCCTGCGACGTGAACACATTCATGATGGAAGTGCCATCAGTCACGGGTGGTGTGGTTGCTGACATGGTAGTTACCTCCGAGAACTGGGCAATAAGATTGAAAACCTCTTCCCAGATTGCGTAGTCGGATCTCCTGTCAATGACGAGGCTAACGAGCGGACGGTAGTAGATATAGTTGAAGTCGCTTTTCCGAACACCCTGGAGCAGAGAAAAAAGTTCAGCTGCTACTTCAAGATTACTTATCTTTGAAGGAAGTTTAAAGGCGGCGTCTGTTTTAATCAGCGCAATTAGAAGATTCGATACCGCATCTTGGAGTTTTTGTTTATCAGTGCCGTCAAGAGAAGTGGCCATGGCATACGACCACTCCACATCCTGCAGTGGGCGCCGTGAAAGACTCAAAGACTGTTTAAAAGGGTGCTTCTTGATAATTTTGATATCGTCGTCAGATAGAGGAGCCATTTCTTAGGCACGCCAGAAGGGAGAAGTTTGTGACAAGGCCAGATATGTTCGGAAAATCCCAGTGTGGTTTATATGGTTGCCAGGAAGGAAGTCACCAGGTAAACAGGTACCGACCGGAAAGGTCTTTGTTCACCAAGTGACCTTCCTTCCTGGCGGCAATATAACCCCTTTGGTCATCCTTTTAGTGAACTAAATTGTGCGTACTTGTATCAGTTCCCTATGTATCACGAGATACTGTATCGGGTTTTGGAAGGGCCAGAATAGTACGTTGGATGCGCTTTTTTTTTTTAGGATATCTGCTGAAATTTGGATTCAAATCTTCTGAACTAAGCGTAATCTGAACATTAAACCCCAAATGTGGCATGGTTAAATCCACTGTCGAATAGCTTAGTGTGAGAGTCTGGAAAGAAGCATGAAGATCTATACTGAGCTTGAATAATTCATAGCTGCAGTGTCATTTTTCATGTTGATAGAAGAAATGCATCGAGATATTGAATGCTGCTGGTATCCGTCGCCGACACGGGTCGCTCTTGGATACCTTCGTCCCATGCAAATCCATGCCATAGGAGAATACCTAACTCTCGTGCAACTTTTATGGTGCTCCACAGTTGGCGTTTGAGCCCTACTTTTTCACCATCGACTGCATCCCAGAACAATCGCCAAAACTCCTCTTCTAACTCCCGTCGATTCTCATCGTACTTCTACCCTTGAGAATCCATATTTCCAAGCATAATTTCCAAGCCGTAGAGTCCCATTCCGAAGGGCAGTATACTTGCTTCAGCCCAATCCACAAGACCAGAAATCTGGCCAGTCACAGGCATCACAAGGGTGTTCATGGCATTGAGGTCTCCATGGGTGAGAACTTGAGGGTAGATGGGGGAATAAAGTTGATGCAGGTCAGCTTGTAGAGATGATATCAAAGTACAATAGCGTGGGGGCAAGGCGGAATTGAGAACGAATGGCTTTTTCGAGATCTGTTCTTGATTTTCTTTTCGCTTTGCTTGTGGCACGTCTTGGGGGTGGAGCCAAGCTGATGCGAAGTATCTTGACCCATGTTAGGCCATAAATCAATCAAGTCTTGGGAGCGGCTTTGTACTAGTACCGTGAGAGATCCTGGATTATTCTCAGCTTCGGCATTGAGCAGGAGGGGTTGCGCTGGTACTGGAGGACCATGTCGATGCAGGTTATCCCGGATAGCTTTTTAATGATGTAGATCTGGAGGGGTGCCGTCGGACCACTCCCGACTTCACCATAGTACTGAGTGGGTGGTACAACATTGCCATGGATTTCTTGTGCTAACTGGATGATGCCAACATCAAGTGGGGAGTGACTGACGCGGAATTGAACAATTTTGTTTTCTTCATCACCCTTGGTCGAAACAGTATAGCTAAAACACCCTTGGATTGACAACGGATACACCGGGCCTCGAACGATTTCTGCTGCAAGGTCGTCACATTCCTGTCGAGTGGGTGAGATTTGTGCGCTGAAAAACGCGTTGATAGCACCGTCAAGAGTGTAGATTTTCATATGTGTAGTTGTTGGGTGGAAGACCCGGGGAACTTTGTGAATGGAGTCTGTATTCAATGAGGGAAGAGAGAGATTCAGGAGCAGCAGAGAGGGGGGTTCATACTTTACCAGAATCTAAGTCTATATATCAGTCAAGAGAAATGGGGTAATAGACAATACTTTCGAAACTCAAAACCTTCATGAACTATCCCAGCTGCTATGCTCGCATCTTGAGAATAATGAGCTTGCTGAGTTCTTTTGGTGGGGGGCGGGGCAGGGGGGTCATCAAAGGTGCATGAGCAGCAGCACTTTCTTACTGCATAGATTCGCTAACCGCTCCAGTTACTCCATAGCAGCCTGTAAGGCATTGATTGGCCTCGCAGACTCTTGGGGTTTTCACTATAGATTTCTAGCACCGCTTTTGTTAAGTATGCATCACCTTTGTAGTATTGAGGTGGGGTTGACTTGAGGATGTGTTTTTTTACTGCTCTTCAACTGAAGACAGATGACACGGTTCCGACATTCGTGCTTGGCATATTCGACGTCGTCAGGGAGCAGCGCATGCATGTGTTGGGCTAGTTAGAGTAGCTAGACAGCTTTTGACCTAGTTAGCAGTCCCAGTTTACGAAGTCATCTGGGGCTTGGATCTCATCTGCACTCTGTACGGAGAGGTAGTCACCTTCTCAGCATTCTAGCTAGCTATAGGATCACGAAGCAACCTTTACGGAGTAATTAACTACCTCTGGTTAACTAACCGCGCTAACCGCCATCTCCCGAGAAATTACATAAGCGAATTGCAACCCGCCAGCATCCACCCAGTTCGATATTACTACGGAATACTCCGTACTGCTGGATAGTGTGGAGGAACTTACGTTTCTACTTGATTATCGCTTTAGAGAGCTGTATGGAGAGAACGTTGTAAACGCGAAATTTGACTTGGAACTTTTTCAACCCCCACCCGATCATGCTCTTCTTCAGGTGAGTCCCTGTATCTTGCAAACCCAGCTCAGGGCCCCGGGCATTAACCTAATAACTACTAGCTTTTTCAAAACCCTTACAAACCACACGGTTATCATTGAGCTTAAGAATGATATCCGAATTCGTGGCACCCTCAAGAGCGTCGACCAGTATTTGAACGTGAAGCTCGACGATATCGAGGTCATAGAGCTCGAGAAATACCCTCATCTCTCTAGTGTGAAGAACATTTTCGTTCGCGGAAGTGTGGTTAGATATATTGTTTTACCGCAAGATGCTGTGGATAGAGGTTTATTGGAAGATGCAACGAGGAGAGGTATGTGGATCAATGGCATTGCCGCTATATTGGGTTGAATGGCAACTGATCATATCGGTTTCGCGTAGAAGCTGCAAGCCAAGCGAATAAAGCAAAATGATGGACCAGTTCTCTCTAGAATGCTATACGACGACCTGTGAAATATGCCCCTGACATGATTCGGTTGTGTCATTCGAGACAAACTCACCACACCTCCTTCTGAACGCACAATTGCCCGCAAGGATTTTAGCCTACGAGCAGATATCACACCGGTGCGCTCAAAACTGTATTTGGGAATAGGTTGGGAATGTTTTGTTCTTTTCTTAGAGCATCGGGGACTACAGATGACGGCTCGACCTATGGATTGGCGACGTCTGCGATTGGATCGGTAGTTTACATACCATAGCGAACAGTCTGGAAGGATATGAATCAATGTTATCTTACGAATTCATTTGAAAAGAGTGCAAAGAGCTCTGCGTTGAGAGCTGAATCGATGTTTACGTAGCGCGTTTAGGTCTCCTCAATTGGTCACGTGAAGGCTTGATTCGCCGCGTCTTCCAAACTCGGTAAAATCATTCGAACTGCGGAGTAACTGTCTTGTTGTGACGCCAACATCAAAAAGCAGGCGAAGATTCTCTGGCACCTACATTCCATGGCGTAAATACCCCATGGTGCCAGAGCATCTTTGCATTGAAATTCTTTGTTGGTTCCCCCTGCCCAAAAAACGCTATGCGACCCTCCTCTACTCCAGCGGCCCGCACAACGAAACCGTCGCTGAGTAGGTCCGGTCCACCAAAGTCCTCTACCGGAAGAAATGCCAGCCTTCTTCAATTTTTCAGTAAATCGGACGGTCCGCCAAAGTTGAAATCGACCCAGAGTCGGATCACGGCGTACACGATTAAAGGGCGAAGTGGCAATGGCTCTCAGGACAAAGGTTGTACGAATACCGATGCAAGAGAACTGGGAGGACTTTTTGTCGAGGATGTTGGAATGGGTGGAAATACTGCTGCTATTTTGGAGCACAGGTTGCCTGATAGCCGCGATCGATCACAGTCCCCTGACTACCTCTGGGCAGATATAGGAAATCCAAACTTTACTGCCCAGGGTTATAACAATGATAGGTACCATGAAAATGGAGTCTCTATAAAAAGGCGCAAAATGGAGGATGACGGGATGGGAGTAAACTCCTTGCCCCTGGAGGCACGTGAATCGGTTATGACTGTCGACGAAACGGCGGGCGATACTAAAGAGGGACGCTCATCCTCAAAAGATAATACCGCTACTGCAAAAAAACTTAGCTATTCTGGACCTTTTGTTATTGATTCAGACAGTGAAAACGAGCTAGAATTGTCTCGTGACCCACTTGAGCCATTGAATATTGAAATACCCCATATACCTAAAGAAACTGATGCAATAGAATCACGACCTACAGATTTTGTTTTTGAAGCGCAGAGTGAGATTGGAATTGGAGATGGTGGTAAAGAAGTTGACTCCAGTGATTCCGAGGAAGGCGATCCTGATGAATCGGCCGAATGCGATGTCTTCGGGAATATAGGAGGCTATGTTGATGAAGAGGCAGCAGTTTGTCCTGTATGCCAATCAAGCTTAGAAGGGCTAACAGAACATGTATGTTATCCTTGTTGATTCCTAGATCAAAAATCCCCACTGAGAACACGAGAAGGAGTCCTCTTTGCATGTCAATCAATGCCTCGACGGGGCCAGTACCCAACTGGAGGAAACAAAACGTCAGGAGGTTGATAAACCTGCAACTACAGCAGAACTCAAGCTCATGGCTCGACCCGGGCAGAAAAATCCATTTAAAATTAGCTCAAATACTACTACTACGTTGTCAGCATTTACAAAAATAATGTCGGGCAATGCAGAGGACGCAGCATGGTCAGCCGCTGCAGCGAATGAAGTAGCATCGAGAGGCAAGCAATCTTACGAAAGGACCTGTCCCTTTTATAAGATCCTTCCTGGGTTTTCTATTACTGTTGATGCTTTTCGATACGGCGCTATCGAGGGCTGCAATGCATATTTCCTAAGCCATTTTCACAGCGATCATTATGTGGGACTGAATTCAAATTGGTCTCATGGCCCAATCTATTGCAGCAAGGTCACTGGCAACCTTGTTCGCCAGCAATTGAAAGTAAAGGCAAAATATATTGTTGACCTCGAATTTGAAATCCCAATTGAGGTCCCTGAGACAGCTGGGGTAAAGGTCACTATGATACCCGCAAACCATTGCCCTGGCAGCTCTCTCTTTCTTTTCGAAAAGCGCTATAGCAACAGCCAGAAAATCCAGCGGATTCTTCACTGTGGTGACTTCAGGGCCTCGCCAGCACATATATTGAATCCATTATTGAAACCAAACATTGTTGATGAGCGCACTGGGCGATTGCGAGAGCAAAGAATCGACGTTTGCTATCTTGACACCACATATCTTAATCCAAAATTCGGATTTCCCGTTCAAGAGGATGTGATTGATTCATGCGCGCAGATGTGTGTAAACCTGGATAAAAACAAACCAGACGGCGATGGCATATGGAAAGTTGGCGGGGACGCATTAGCAAAAGACAATACCGCAGACCATGGTAACAAAGCCAAGCGCCGGTTGCTCGTTGTTATCGGGACTTATAGTATAGGGAAGGAGCGAATATGCTTGGGAATAGCAAAAGCTCTCAACTGCAAAATTTATGCCACTGCGGAAAAGCAGCGCATATGCGCGTGTCTTGAAGACCCAGAGCTGTCTAGCATGCTTACCAATGATCCCTTGGAAGCTCAAGTTCACATGCATAGCCTGATGGATATCCGTGCTGACACACTTTCGGACTACCTTCACTCCTTGAAGCCACACTTCACGCATATTGTAGGATTTCGCCCGACGGGTTGGAACTATCGTTCCCCGGCAGGCAGGATGACAGATAGCCCGCCAGTATCAGCTGTTCTACGCTCAGACTCATGGAAAGCTCGATTTACCACCAAGAGCCTCGTGCCACAACGGGGTAGCACAAAAGAAGTCTCGTGTTTCGGCGTGCCATACAGCGAGCATAGCTCGTTTCGGGAGCTAACGATGTTCTGCTGTGCCCTGAGAATCGGCAAAGTTATCCCAACTGTAAATGTAGCGAGTCGGAGGACGAGAGAAAAGATGAAGACTTGGATTCACAAATACGAAGCGGAGAAGAGAAAATCTGGGTTATTTTCGGTTGACGAGAATGCAACGAGGTGGTGATATGACTTTTTTGGGTGCGCAGTCCTACCTTGAAACGTGATACATGTATTCAGCGAATCCAGATTTGGACGATACAGTTGGGCAAATTGAAAATGCCCACGTCTGTTCCTGCAAGGCTTGGGCAGAACCCGCCAGTGTTGTGGAACGTCCACCCTTGCCCACTTGAAGCGAGCACCTTGCTCCCTTGGTTGTGTTTGATAAACCCTCCCCCCAGACCATCCCTGCCGAACTCGGCCTGGGTGTGTTCCACATACACCATTGGTTAAGAGACAAGGCATTTTTCTTAGTAAGGGGCCTATAGCTTGTAGCTACCTTTTTTCAGTTATCTGAACCTCATATTTCATACTTTAAGAGGCTATCTTTGGCCTAGCAGCCCTAGTGCAGTTACGCAGCTCCATAAATCTTGTGGGGCCAATCAACAATCCATCAAGATGGTGCCGATTATACGCCCCATTTTCATCATCCTTTCGGCATATTGAGAAGACGACATGTAAAGCCGTATGAGAGTAGCAGGCCCATTGCAGTAGTTTGGTTCAGCATCCTGTGGGTTGTTCTATGAGTAAGGAAAGAATCAAACAAAACGTATCATCAGTAACTTCTTTGCTATGTCATTCACAAGATTCTTTCACCATCCTGAAGGAAACCTGAGGTCTAAAGTGGCCATATATATCTTGGGTCAGATCCATGATCTCCGTTATCAGTTTTGGGACCCGAGACAAAACTGAACAACCAATTCACCCCTTGACCCTGGCATATAGTGTAGCTGCAGACGCCTTGCACAGCTACTGGGATGACATCGCCTTCAAGGTGCTCCTTGACGTAGGCATCACAGGCGGAGCGGCTCGCTGCAGGCTTCACAAAAAACTCAGCTATCTCCTGGTCGACGGAGGACTCCATCAGGATTTGTGGGAGACGGGCTGCGGCGGCACCTCGACTGGTGCGCGGGTTTTTTTTTCGAGCCTGGTGTGGTTGTCTGGAGGACTGCGCGCCGGCTTGGTCTCTGCAGCCGAGTGAACTAACTAACTAGCTGTGTCGGAGACTGCACGCCAACGTACAGAGTTGGCTAAGCATCTTGCCCTGAAAGGGTTTCGAAATCAGACTCGTCTAGGCTGTACGGAGCAGCTAGTTATGCAATCTACACTTGCATGGCTTGCTCCTACTGATCATAAATTCTTGGCTGCGTTTCGCGTCATTCGATGTCGTTCTCCCGCCGGCCCGTTTTTAGCGGCAGCCCAGGTTCCTCTTGTTTCTTGCTTGCTTCATCCGCCTTCCTCACCACCACTTCGACGCGTCGTACGTACTTACCCAACGGTCTCCAAACGATACATTGTTCCCATATACTTGCTATGAGTGGGAAACTGACTCTGTTCGCTGAGCTGCAGGCTTTTACCTTGGTTTATTGACCATTCCCTTCCTCTGTCGTCAGCGATGCTAAGCCTGGTGAGCTTGTACGAAGCATGTTCGGTTCAAACGATGCCGATGCCTACTATACTGCTATAGGGACATCTGTCAGACTTGTTTTTGCGTTGCCCGTAGGGTTTGGGGCTATAATATGATCACTTGAAAAATACTTTGAGCCTGCTATACTGCATATTGAGCAATAATGGCCTTCAAGTCTCCATTTTCTGCTAAATATAGGTTATATTATAAAGATACTATGCTGACCCTGATCGATACTGAATCCTTCAATCCCTTCTATTACCCATGTATTGGAAATTCCTGGACGCTGAGATGCCCAGGTGTGAAAAACGTGCATTTTATGATCAAACAGATATTCCCCCATATACCCTCCATGCACCCCGTGATTAAATGTTGAGAAATTAAAGGTGTAATACCATATGTATTTGCCGCTGATATTTTTCGCTTTGCGACGTTTGTACAATTTTTTCTGTTTTTTTGTGCCTCAAAGACTGAAACGGAACCGAGGGTCGTCATCGCCCATGTTGCCCAGAATTCTGTCTTCGAGCTGCAACCTATCATCCCGCTTCCCTTGCTCTCTCAGTCGATTTTCTCTCAGCAGCCCCGCGGCAAACACCATGCTCATAATACCACAGAATATCATCATGGCTAGGGACACCCCGTATCCGACAAAATATCGCGGCGCATCTGTGCGAACAAAGATGTTACTTGCGATTATACCTCCAATGTTGCCGAAACCGACCTGGATGGCTAGGCCAATGGCGCGTTTGTAGTGGCCGCCCAGGTTATTCGCCATCCAGACGATGGTAACCGGTTGCACAATGTACGTGCCCGTGCAGACGAGGAACACGGCCATGTAGCGCACGCGCGGCGGCAGGCCGGCGGCGCCAGGGGGTCCCTGGCAAAGCAGCACGACATACCCTATGCTGGCCACGATCACGCCGAAGATGACGAAGCCAACGCGGTGCTTGAGGCGGTCGGTCAGGTGCGAGACGATCAGGGTCACAGCGGCGGCCACAGCCCAGATCGGCACGCTGTGGACCTGGCTATCGATGCCCGAGTAGCCGAGCGAGTTCACGATGGAGGGGATGAAGAGCGCGGTGGCGTAGCCGGAAACGGTGATGCCTATGTATATCAGGCTGCCGACATAGATCTTCCAGTCGGTCAGGATGCGTTTCCAGGCGGCCGCATCGAGGCGATCCATGCGCGCTCCGCCGCCGACATCCTTAGAGTTGCGGGCTTGCAAGAACTGTTTTTCATCATCAGACAGAAATTTGGCTTGTTCCGGCCAGTCAGCGATCAGAAATTTCGCCGGCACAGCCAAAACGATCGACATGAGGCCCTCAATAATGAAGATCCAGCGCCAGCCGGTGTACCCACCCAGACCGCCCATGTGGTCAAGCCCGTACGCCAGCAGGCCGCCAAAAGCGCCGGCGACGAGGCCGGCCACCCAAAAAAGGGAGAAACGCTTTTGGAACTCGTGGCGTTTATAGTACATGGCCATGAGATAGGCGCAGCCGGGAACAAAGCCGGCCTCAAAGACACCGATGAAGAAGCGGCAGGCGATCAGGCCAGCGTTGTTCGTAACAAAGCCCTGGCACATGGAAGCAACGCCTAGAGGTAGTCAGTCAATATGTCAGAGTATATGTTGATCAATTGACTGCATCAGACTCACCCCAGAGGAAGGTCAGCATGCTGATCCAGGTGGATGGCGTGAAGCGCTTGAGGAAGATGTTGCTGGGGATGTCAAGCAGGATGTACGGCACGAAGAAGACCTGCACGGCGATATTGAAGTCGTTGCCCTGCAAACGCAGGTCGGGCACGATGCCCAGCACCGCAACGTTGCCTAGGTTGATACGGTCGAGGAAGCCAAAGACGAAGACCACCCACAGCGGCGCCATCAAGTGCAAGTCGATCTTGCGCATCATGGCACGTTGCTGGCGGGCGTCGAGGGAGTACGCGGCAGCCTCCAGCTCGAGAGCTTCCTTGGGGCTGACACGCGGGTCTTCTAAGCTGTCGGAGGCCATCTTGGGAGAGCTGGAGAGGGAGAAGAAGGGGAGAAGGGTGTAAAGAGAGAAGAGGAGGAGGAGGAGGAGGAGGAGGAGAAGGGGGAAAAGCGAGAGAGACAGACGGATAGACAGACAGACAGCGACGCTGCCAGACGCGGACAGACGCGGCATTAAGTAGCCGGCAGGCGCGCGCCATCGACGGCTGCGGCGTTTAACTCTCGAGCGCACCCGACGGGCCTTCGCAGCACGACGGGATGCGCGACCAGCGACGCTCAACGAAGTATCGGGTGGGCGAGAATGGACGGCATAGCCTGCGGACTCTACATCTACGAGCTAACTACACTCTCTGTCAATTCGTCTCTACCTCTGTGTCTGTCTCTTCCTTCCTCGCTCTGCCCGCCTGGCTATCTGTCTGTCTCCGACTCTCCCTTAGGCATCTTCTCCCGATCTCCGCGCCAAGCGAGCCCGCCCGGGGGGTTAGGCGACGCGTCCGGGGGCTGCGGGCGGTGCGGGTGCCCGGAGCTGGGGCGTCGCACAGGGGCTGCTCGGCTGTTCTCGCGCCCACTCACGCCCACACCCACGCCCGCGCCCGGGCCTCCACGCACCAGCCCACTCGCGACCTCTCTCATCAGCATAACCAACTAATCAACAGCTAGGTGGACAATAATTGCATCTAGACTCCTCCCCCAAGCCATGCGACACCTCACGTCCCGATGCGCTGCATCACTTTCGCCGCCCGCTCGCCGCGATGTGATGTATGCCAGCGACAAGCCCGCGTCCCTGGCTGATCGCCCGCCCGCTGCATGCCGGCCCCGCCGCTGACTGGCCGTCGGTCGTGTTCTTGCGCAACACTCGCACTCTTCTGTGCTCCCCCAAGCGACTGCTCTTCTTATACCCGCCCCATTATTATTTCTTGCCTGGTCTGTGTCTTTCTCTCCTCTCTTCCTCCCTCTTCCTCTCTTTCTCTAGCCTTCCCACCTCTCTCCCTCGCCATGCCCACCGGCCGCTGGTGTTGCGACGTGGCTCTGGCATCATGCCCCTTTTCAGTCACTATGGCGACGTCGACGACATTTCCAATCGCCTTGCCGTGCCCGCCTTGGTCTTCTCCATCGTGACGCCGCTGTTCGTCATTGCGCGCTTCTGGAGCCGCAGGACCTTTGCCAAAAGCATCGATCCCGATGACTGGGTAATCCTGGCCTCCTGGGTGTGTTTCTGCCTTTTTTTCTGCATGCTTCTTTTCCGTCTTCGCTGGGCCTTCAAACAAACTCTTCAAGGGACATCCATGTTAATCGGCTGTTGTTGCGCCGTAGGTTTTTGCTGAGGCGGTTTGCATCCAGATGATGATCAGTGAGTGTGAGCAGATTCTCTAAGTTCATGGCCGCCATCTAATCTCCCGCTCCAGTTTGCCAATGGGCTTTTGGAAAGCATAAAGTAGACGTCAAGCCCGAAGTCTTAGCAAAATCACTGAAGGTACGCCTTTGCCACGGACCCGATACCTAGGATCCGTGCTGACGGAGCCACATCTCTTAGTTGTATTTCTTCGCGCAGATCCTGTACAAAATCAACATTGGCCTGACCAAGATTAGCATCTTGCTCCTCTACATCAAGGTCTTTGTACAGCCGTGGTTTCGAAGAACCTGCTGGGTCTGCGTCTGTGTGATTGTGGCCTTCACCACCGGCACCGTCGTGTCAAGCATCTTCCAATGTGTTCCCGTGCAGTACGCATTCGACAAGAAGCTGCCCGGCGGCGGGACTTGCCTCAACCTGACGGCGTTCTGGTATGCCAATGCCGTCTTTAACATCCTGAGTGATGTCGTTATCATCATTCTGCCAACTCCAATCATCAACAAGCTGCACTCGCCCACCCGGACCAAGATTGCTGTCTCTAGCGTCTTTGCTGTTGGAATCTTGTGCGTTTAATGCCGCCCCTTTACTCATACTTCTCGTGATCATCGCTAACTCAGCGCAGCGTTTGCATTACTTCTATCCTTCGCTTCACCACCCTCAACATTGCGACTTCCCACCTCGACATCCCATGGACCAACATCGGATCGTCCATGTGGACCATTATCGAGTCCAATCTCGGCATTATCTGCGCTTGCATGCCCACGCTCTGGCGGCCCATCTCGCGGTTCTGCCCCTGGCTGGCTTCTCGCGTCACACGGTCGAAGTACGGCACCGGCCACAGCGCCGGAAGCCAGTCGCAAGCCACTGCTCGCCGAAGACCCATCTCCCTCGGCGTCAAAGACCCTGCGGGTTGCTGGACGAAAATAACGTCGAGTGAGGAGCAGCTGGCACGGGACTACGAGACCTATGTATCTGCCTCTGCAGACGGTGAGCCGCATTGGCCTGAGAGGGCAGATATTGGAATTACCGGAGATAGAAATCCGATCAGGAAAGATGCACGTACCTCCGTGCACTGCTCTGAAGGCGATTCTCAAAGAACTATCACAGAGAATGGGCAGGCAGACATCGAAATGAAACGGATCGGCTAGCAGGAGTCATAAAAATAGAGGCGTTGCTACCACTAAAAGTTTGTTATTACGGGGAGTGTGAAAGCTCTGTTTCTGGGTTGAATGCCCCCTTCATCAACCGCTGGTTGGCTTGGAGCATCAGACGGGAGGGCCGGAACCGCGGAACCTGTAGGTCCACATCTACCGCATTCTCTATGAGCTTTAGTATTTCAACCTGTTTTTCCCAGGCTTTTGCCTTATGCAGCGATGTTTGTCACTGAACGCGTCTTTTGATTGGGTGAGATGTTACAGACAGGTGTACATACCACAGCTTCTCTCTCTCTCTCTCCTCCCCGAATCCCTTGACCCTAACCTACCTTCGGTTGGCTGGCCTCCCACCAATGGCACCGAAAACACAAAAATCTCAAAGCTCCATATTTTTACAAGATCTACTTTATTTGTATTACTCTATCAAAGATGCTTTTTGACAGTATGTGGTAGAAGGTGAGGCCCTCTCCACTCAGATCTGTATGTGAACTAGAGTATCTTACTACTGTGCTGTAGTAAGCGAACGCTCTGTCCAAGGCGAGGTGTGGGCTTGTATGTACTCCCTTCGTATGTACAACAAAATGAAGGAGGCTCTGCGGAATAATCGCCGTGTCTAGCTAGGCTGCGGCCGACAGATGACCATTCGGGTCGATGCTCCAATTTACCTATTTATAGTTAGTGTGGGGGGGTTGTTGCTCCATAGTCTTAGACTGCATAAGAGCCTAGCAAAAATAATGAATAACACACACACACACACACACACACACACACACACACACACATGCACGCGCTCTTCATGGAACAGCCCCGACTCGCGTCCCTGCGTGGAGCCAGGCGGGCAAAACTCGGCTCAACTTGGGTCTGGCCATCGCATCGACAAGCCTGTTGCACAATGCCAAGTGGACACCCCCACGGCCCTCCGCAGTAAGCGCCTGGCTCGGGCCGCTGTGGGACTACTCCTCCGGCAACCTCCATTGAGATATGTCTCGGCTAGAATGCTGCTTGTCATAACCAGATAATACCCTTTCCAGGGCTCCCAGAATTTAACCCCCCTGCCCAAAATCACATTTTTTGGCCTTTTCTGGTGTACTGTAGAGGCAAAAACGTCTGGATCTCAGCTGGGTGGCCAGGCCATTGGGCGGGAAGATTTAATCCGCCGCCACATGAACCGCATTTCGTAACATATCTCATAGCTATAGGAAATTTTGATCCTTCTCGTCACGTCTGGATGGAGCCACATGTGAATAGACATATACCGGGTTTATCAAGATGCAGCGTTTCCTATCGCCACCCCATAGGAACACCTATTCCTGTCGCATCAATGGTAAGGGCAGAGGGGTTGGTGAGAGGATTGATAGTGGGCCCATGAAGCCATTAAGGTCATCTCATCAATCAATGCAATTTTTCACTCACGGACTCTAGAGAACTCTCAGACACCTTTACAGCCAACACAAGGTGGACTGAAAACGTTTTTTTCTTCTAGATACCACTGCCATATCTGCATTGAAATAGGACTCTCATAGTATCCGTAGTTCAAAATCCTCGACAAGAGATTCTCAAATGCAAACCTCAATCCACTTGTCCAAAGCATTATGCACCCAGCTGCTCAGTGGAATCTGAGCATCTCGCGAATATTGATTTAGTTGGGAAATAAGGATCTGTGTTTCTCAGACGTCTTATTATTACTGAGAAGGATGCAGCTGCTCATTCAGTCCATCTGCATGGCGCCATGGTATTGGTCTTTTCCCGATAGTCGACCGAGAAACATATCCGCAAATAAATTAATGCCCCAGCACTGAAGATATAAAAGCTACAGCATCCCTTCAGATCTGGTGATGTTTTCAGAGCTTCATCATTCATTTTGTGTACAGCTTGACATTCTCTCGATATTCATTATGGCGAGATTACTTCCCATGCTTGTTCTTCTGGCAGCTCCAGTTTTTTCAGCGCCCGCAACAGAGCACAGTAACTCTCCCAGAATTATTAATGAACAAGAATCTTATCCGGGTCAATTTCCTTCCATGGTTTCCTTGACTAGGGGTACTATTCAAAAGTGTGGAGGAGTTTTGATAGATGATAAGACTGTTGTCACAGCCAAGCACTGTGTTCCTCAAAGTCAGGCTGCAGAGCTAAGAGAGCGTGCTGGAACTTTAGTAGGTTTTCACTGTAAATGTGAAGCATATACTGACTTTGTTGTAGTTCTTCTTTGCTGGGGAGCCTGGGCTTGTATCTGAGATTGCTAAGATTATCCATCATTCTAGTGAAACTGTTGATCTGGCAGTTCTGCATCTCAAAACTGCCTTTCCAAAAAGAAAAGATGATTCTATTGAAATTGATCATGCTGAGTTACCTGCTCAAGGATCAACTCCTGCAATTAGTACCACTGGTCATGTTGCTGGTTGATATGTGTTCATATTTGCACTCATCTTTTTACTCTTCCCACAGAATTAACACCCAGTCAATAGGGGAGTTAATGAAAAAAAAGCCAAACCAGGTAGACTGCAGTGGGCCCAAATCACTGTTGCAGAGTACAGCAAGTGCCCATTCAATCGGAAAGATGGTCAATCATACTTCTGTGCAATAGGTACTCACTCAAGCACCTGCGGAGGAGATAGTGGGGGGCCGATATTTCGTCATGGATCCCGTGTCGTGCTTGGTGTGGTATCAGCAGGTGCAACTGATTGTACAAAGTATTATGACACTGTGTTTGTCAACCTTGGCCCTTATTCAGACTGGATCTGGGAGTGCGATTCAACATCCCCAACCTATGTATGTAGTTAGTTAACTAGGTTAACTTGGGTAGTGTAGTTAGTTACTTAAGTTAGTTAAATAACTAACTACACCAAGCGCTTTGACCTTATAAATGCTCTGGCTGTGCTTGGTCCCTCCAAGGCTCAAGCTGCAGTCAAGCAGTTACAGGATTTATCTGATTTTGGGCGGAGTTGAGCCAGACTGCCATCACTTTGGGAGTTAGTTTATGTCGTAGTGAGCTAGTTAGATAAATAGTTAGATAGTTAACCAACTGCGGGGTTTACTATAGCTCAAGGACCGGCGAAATACATCCACTGCCCAAACCGCATCCAACAACGCAGGCACGCTTTACTTGCTGGCCATACTGGAATTACCAGAGACACTTTGAAATTACTACTGTAACTCTGAACTCTCATTGATAGACAGCAAGCCAATAATACTTATCCTCAGCCTGTGCAGGCATGTATTCACGACCCATGGCCTTCACAAAGATACGGCTCCGTCCCCAAAATATCACGCATATACGCCACCCTATGACTCGGATCGCTTCCAGATAGACCCGCATCCCCCGGTCAAGGTGTATTACTGAGCAGCAATTCACCACCATGCTGGTCTTCAGCGTTCCCCTCCACTAGTTACTCTCCCATCTCGCTCGGCTTCCAAACCCCTCCCATCTTCAAGCCCCACCATTATTTTACATGATGGCATCAAACAAGACAATAGTCACCGACGAGCTCGTTGAGTCACTTAGACTAAGACTTAAGACGTCTGAGCTACTCTCGCCGGCATCTCCCGCCTACGAAGATGCCATCAAACGCTGGTCCGCTGCGGCTATTAAAAGAGCTGTATGTATATATCTACAAGGCTCACTAGACGAACAAGACTAACAACTGTGCCTAGGGCATGGTCCTACTCGCCCAGAATACCGCAGACATCTCCCAGGCTGTGGTCTTCGCCCGCGAGACCAACATCGACCTCGCCATCAAAGGCGGTGGCCACTCCGTGGCCGGCGCCAGCTCCAGCGACGGCGGCCTAGTCATCGACCTGAGCCACATGCGTGCTGTCGCCGTTGACCCCGTCCAGAAAACAATCACCGCCCAGGGTGGCGCGCTGTGGGCCGACGTCGATGCCGCAGCGGACAAGCATCAGCTCGCCACCGTGGGCGGCACCGTGAACCACACCGGCATCGGTGGACTGACGCTGGGAGGCGGCATGGGCTGGCTGAGTGGGCGGTATGGACTGGTGGTGGATAATCTGCTCGCGGTTGAGATTGTGCTTGCGGACGGGCGTGTGGTCAGGGCGTCTGCGACAGAGGAGCCGGAGCTGTTCTGGGCGGTGCGAGGCGCGGGCCATAATTTTGGAGTCGTCACGGAGTTTGTGTATCGGGCTTACGACCAAGCTGGTCCGGTATTCGCGGGCGCGCTGACCTTCACTCTTGACAAGTTGGAGGAAATCGTGGACGTCTTGAACTACCTGCAGGCAAATCCTGATCAAGATTCGGGCTTTGGTTGTCTCCTGAATATGCCACCTGGGTCGGACGATCTCAGGATGGATATGATCCTGTTCTATAATGGCACCGAACAGGAAGCGCTGAAACGGTTTGAGAAGCTTATTGCTCTCGAGCCCATTGCTAAAAACACCTTCATGATGCCATATGTTGCGGTCAACGGGATGCTGAACGCCGGAGTCGAACACGGAGGCCGACGCACCTTCAAGGGTGTCAGCTTTGTCCCGCCTCTACGGCCAGCTTTCCTGCGCAGCCTCGCGCAAAAATTCTTGCAGAAGTTCCAAGACGAACCAGACATGCGCGGATCCGTTCTTATGCTGGAAGTATTCGACATGCGTAAGATCCAGGAAACTAAGGTCACCGACACCGCAACTCCCAATCGCGGGTCGGCCGTCAATGGCGTGCTGGCCCTGCATTGGAACGACTCAGCAAACGACGCCAGGTATAGAGAGTGGTCTCGCGAGATCCAGCGGGACTTTGAGCAGGAAATGGAGAGGACGCAGAAGGATATGACGGCGGCTGACAAGGCTGCCGCACGGTACCTCAACTACATAGAACGTAAGTTGTCCCACCTTGCCTCTTTTTTGCCTTCGAAAAAAGGAGTTTGCTCTGATAGCTAATTTTCCAACTATATAGCCGGAGAAATTGCCGTGTCCAGTGTATATGGTGTAAATACCGAGAGAGTGCGCAGGCTTAAGGAGCAATATGACCCGGGCTTCATTTTTGGCAAAACGAACCCAATAGATCGAAAAGCATAAATTGGGCTTGAAAGGTAACCGGAGTATATGTATTCGTTGTGGCGTCTTCCACTCATTTGAATTGATTGCCATCTTGAGGGACCATGTGGTCTACGAGCACTGGTTCGGTCTCCAGGGGAATTCGCCTTGGTGGACCTCACCATTTTCGGGGCGGAGTGAATTACTCCCAGCATTTACCATTAACTACTCTATAAATATTCGAAACGTTGCTGGCAATTATCGAATTTTCATTTCATGGTGCCATTATCACTTTTCATGCAGTACAGTAGGATGAGTTCTCAACATATTTGTGTTCAGGATAGGAGCCAGGAACAATGCAACATCGTAGATCAGGATGATTACTAAACCCTTCAGGAGTTGAAGAGCATCACAATACTGTGATTAGGAATTGCCAGAAAACCTAACAATTAGGGGCTGGTGTAAGCATTAAACAAAAGAAACTCAGATTTTAGCTGAACAAATGCACGCCGTATCATACAATCATAAAATGAGGGAAACCAATAATTGTTCACGAGCAAATAAACGGCATCGAATCAAAAAAAAAAAAAAAAAAGAAAAGAAAAGAAATACGCCTCCCATGGCTCCTGGCTTACTAAAATCGTCTCTTTTTGATGATAATATTGGGACCATTCTTCTGGCTAGTGAAGTGATCGACCATGTGAAGATGACCCTCCGCATCCTCGCCCTCGCGATCCGCCAGCTCTACATCAAACAAGAATAGCATCCTGGCAAGCGTCAAACGCATCTCCATGAGAGCCATACTCTTGCCAATGCAGCCGCGGGGGCCAAAGCTAAAGGGGCAGAACGCCTTGCGGGCGATCTCGACGTCATCTTTCGACGACACCCAGATCTTGTTGTCGGTCTGGCACATGGAGCCTTCGATCCAGCGCTCGGGGAGGTAGGCGAGGGGCTCGCGGTAGTACTCGGGGTGGCGGTGGATAGTGTAGCAGGGGGTGCCGACGTCAATGCCGCCGGGGAGGTAGTGGCCGTCGATCTCGATGCCGCCGGCGAGAACCTCGCGAGGCATGGCGCCGGGCACGGCGGGGGCAAGACGCATGGCCTCGTCCATGCAGGCCTTGAGGTAGACTAGGCCGTTTAGTTTGGGGCCGGTGATGATTTCTTCGACTTCGGTGAAGGCGTCGCGGATTTCTTTCCGTACTTTGGCCAGGGCCTGGTCGTTTCGCACAAGGTAGAAGATGGTAGCTGCAAGGCTGGTTGATGTGGTATCACTGCCCGCGATCATCAGGACGTTACTCTCGCCCCAGAGCTCGGGAGTGGACATGACACGGCCGGTTTCTGGATCCTTGGCGTTGAGCAGATAGTAGAAGAAGTCCTTCTTCGCTTCGTGTCCGGCCTGGGTTCGCTCCTTTGCACGCTGAGTAGCTTCGACGCGGGACTTTTGGATGAAGTTCCAGCGATCATTGGTCAACTTGCGGATGAAAATCTGGTCCAGGTGCCACCGGTCCAGAGGCATCCACAATCCACACTAATGTACAAGTTAACTATCATAAATTGGAGTCAGAAGACTACGGAGAGGGGCAGTGTGGGCGCTACTTACGACATAATGACGGTAGGCAGCTCGGTCAACGAGGCCAATGACTTCGCGTTTTCCACGCTCGATCAACATGCCAAAACTTTTCCCAAAGCAGAGCTCTCCCATCACATCGTATGCCAGGTAGCCAAACCAGTTAGCCATGTTGCGGACCACATGGCCCTTTTCGGTTTTGGCACCTGCATCCAAGGAAGGCTCATCACCACCCATGATGGCGCAGAACTGGCGGATGTTGACCAGCATGACATCCTCCATGCCCTTCAGGGCATTTTCTGAGAAGGCCTGGCTCAGAACTCGGCGCTTTCGGCCATGGACATACTTGTCGATCACATTGTGGGTATTATACACGCCCTTGATGGCAGGGAACGAATTATAGAAATCGCCTTTCTTGACTTTCTTGCCATGGCCGTAGATGTCATGCAGGCCTTGAGCAGTGTTGATCGATAGAAAGTTTGGCGCTACTCGGACGAACGGTCCGTATTGCTGATGCAGGTTGTACAGCCACAGATGGCGGTCGCCCTTCACTCCATGGTACAGTTGCACCCAAGGAGTGATTGTAGCGAGGAACGGACCAGGGTATTTACTGAGAGGATGGACGAATTTATTGTATAAGCAGTATCCAAAGACCTACGTCCCACAAAACGCACATCGGTCAGTAACATGGTTCCGGCATTTGTTGATTCCAGTTCCGGCTGCAGGGGGGCTCAAGCACGTACCAGAAGCGAAACGAGGGCGAGCAGGCCCAAGCCCACACTCCCTAGGGAGAGGTGGTTCACTATAGGCTGGATGATCATGGCGTCCTCTTCGACCGTTTACTCGTCGTCGGGTTTGAAGAGCGTCACGCCGTCCGCGTGCGGAGGTGTATGACGTCAGGAAAGCACGTAGCGACACGCGAGGAGCAACGAGGGCACGCACAGCAGAGCAGAACACCTCAGGAGCCGTCTGAGGAGCAAGACAGAGGCAGCGCAGAGAGAGTCGTGCGAGCAGCAGCGACGGCCGGGCGGGTTTATGGCTCTCTTAAGGACGCGCATTAAAGGCTGGTTGTGCGCCAGCCCGGCTAGTTGCGGCGTTTCCCCAGCTGCGCGTGTGCGCGAAGGCCGCCGAGCCGCCGCTTGACTAATGCACGGCGCGGCACTGGCTCTCTCGCTCTCGCGACGGTTTCCCGCCCGCGGGGTCGGCCCCGGCCTTCGGGTATTTTTGGTCCGCCAGCCGAGCGGGTTCTAGCACGGCTGCCCTGCTGCCAGCTATAACTCCGCCCACTGGTCGCGCCGAACGGCTCTTATATCAGCAAGCCGCTCCCAGCCGCGCGGAGATAGGTCACGTGGATACAGTTTTTTTTCTCTCCTCCGCGGGGCATCGCGCGGAGGATATCGAGATAATAATAATGGGAGGCGCTATGGATGCAGACTGTACATCCGAGCTTTCACGCACGGATGCCTGCTGCATGGTTGCCCTCTGTCCGACCGCATCGACGTTTGCCGGGGTGTGGTGAGAACAGGCCGCAGGTTGGATCCCTGAAAATGCCGTCCAGCAGCGCGCAGGGGCCACGAGCTAGTTAATGATGTAGTCGCTTAGCTAACTACCTCACGAACTCACTAACTCGCAAGCTTGGGCGTTTGATCACAGCGTCTCAAGCTAACGCAGCCAAGGCGCATCCAGAGCTGCGAACAGTAGTAGTTGGTCGGGGTACTTCGCCGTTATCAGCCCCCGCTTCGTCAGCGTCTCTCTAGTTGGGTTTCGAACGCATAGCCTCGCTTTCCAGTAGTGCTGATCAACGTTCCCCAGCTGCTCGGGCGATAATGCTCCTTTTTCGGGGTTAGTTATGCGATGACGTCCCTAGTCTGAGGACTTCTGAGGTCCCGACTGGACCGGGTGTCCCGCTCGTTTCTCCTGGCGTGCTCTTTCGCACATCATGCTTCTCGTCACACTGTGGCCAAGGGGGCTAGGGAGCTCGCCCCCGGAATATGTTGTGCCGATTAGCGGCAGGGAAGCAGGGCTGTCGGGTATTCTTGCCCGTGAGCTTCGACCGCACACTTGCCTCCGAGGGCATCTCCGGCTCACCGTGGATCAGCTGGGTCTTCTTCTGTGCTTTGCTGTGACACTGAAACATATAATTGCCTATACGGAGTATATAATGCGCCTTTTCCATGATCTCACCTTGTCTCAGGAGCGGTCTGCCTACCTGTTAGGTGCCATTGTTGGCGGATAGCCACATGATTGAAAGGGTAAACATACACGATACTTCTGTTTCTATAATAGATCAAGTGCATCGCTTCTTTATCAAAACCTGGCTGCATTTACCACGTAGTGTTTGTATGTGTAGTTATTTGAGTCTTTGTTGGGATTACCTACAACAATTGCCGTCAAATATTCTAAGATGGCCGCTAAATTTCTCAAAGCTTTGCAGGAACTGCAAAGCTGAATAAGTTCCTCCCTTCTTGTCCTGGGTCACTGCGAACAAAACCAGTTCTTCCAATTTGTTCCACGGACGTACTTGAGAGTTGTCTTAATGTGTTTTCGTCGGCATGGTTGGAAATGAAACGGCTGCCAGTGCTCTTTAGCCGCCCAACTACGTAACCCTGGAACGGCGAGCCGTCTCGATTGAACTCAACCGTATATGTCTCGATCACAGCTTCACCTTCTGGATTCCTACTGAGACTTGGGGCCGATTCATCTGCCAAAACTGCCGGTAGCGGGTTCTTTTCTGGATACGACGATCCGTCTGATCGAGGTTGGGAAGAGAGCACTACAGCATGCTGGTAGCTTAGTACCCCTCCATTGGCCAAGACAAGTCCGTGGCGGCGTTGTTGTGCATTTTGTCTCAGTTGGCGGACCATAGCAGTAATGGCCTGTGTGTGAACATTTAGTAAAATGCAAAAGAACGTAGGGACTCTTGAAGTAGACATACATGCATGGAATAATTGTTGCCAGCGCCGCCAAAGGAGGTCAGTCCTCCTAACAGTGTGATTGGCTTTGGCGGGTTGATTATCGGCAAACCCATCTGCTTGCATGCAAGCTTGGGAACGATGGGAAAGCAGCTGTTACATTCCTTAGCCGGGATAAAAGGTAAGACACCAGCTCACTCACGAGTAAAAGTCAAAGTAATCGATTTCCTCTCTTCGGAGGCCAGATAAATCCAGCGCAGTGTCTAGAGACCTTGAAATTGCTGGGCTGGAGTAGAAATTTCCTCGTTCCCAGACTAGAACATTTCAGTACCTAGTAGATACTCGGGCTGTACCACAGAGAAGAAGAAAAAATAGCATCATGATACGCACAGTTGTTTGCTTCCGCTGTCCCTGCACCGCCTAGTGGGTATATCCATTGACTTTCGGGAACTCCAAATTTTCTTGCCTGTTCAGTGGTGGTCAAAATACACGCCGCAGCAAGATTTACTGCATTGAAAGCGTTCATCAAAAGGGGGTCTAGCGCACTGTCAGTTTTCCTCCACCAATAAGCGGGGGTTGCCGTCAATCATACAGGGTGAGCAGATGAGCCGATTATTTTTCGTCACGGTGCCGATCGACTGCGCCGTTTGAGGAGGTTTACCATAGCTCCAGGAATATGGATTGCTCTCGGCTACCTTTGCGAAATCACCGTAAAGCTGAGCAGATTCTTGGTTGTTTTCCTGGATGGATTGTCGTCGATGGGCTCTGAATCCATTTTCATATAGTGGGTAAATGTGAACTGGCAGGCCAATGGAATGGATGGCCCCCAGGTCTAGGAATATTCAGTCAGTACGAAACATGTGGAACCGCCACTAGAACCTTGAAAGCCGGCGTACATACCATCTAGCTTCATATTTTTAATATCAAAGGCTTCGGAAGCCCCCTCTTCCAACGGGGTCCATTCCTGTGGAGGAAACCTTTTTGCTCGAACAAAGGCATCGACTTCGATAATATAGGTTTTCAGTATTCTTGGTATCTCATAATCAGCTAGAGAGAGCGCAATACATACGGGACGCAAGTGCCTCGCCGCCGGTCACCAGTGCAACTGTACTCTGACCAGAAGCAACGCGACGCGCAGCTTCATCCAGTAGTTTAGCGGGCGAATGGCCGCCGTGCTCGCTATAGGCCTTGTGCTGGGGACGGATCCCGAGCCGTTCCGCAATCGAGCCGGGAAGGTCTGGATACGGCCAGGTCCATGTCCTGACAACGTCCACGCTGTCAATATGGGATTGGATCTCCTTGGAAGTGCCCTCGGGGACGCTGCAATCCTTCAGTGCCTGTTCGGTGGCCCGAAGCATGAGCAGCAGCGGCTCCTTGGCATCCTCCATCTTCCTGGAGGCATTCTTCACATCGCCAACGCCAATCACCACCGGAGTGCTGTGCAGTGGGCGCGCCATTCTTTGTATGCAGGTATCGGTCGAGGTAGTCAATATATATGCAAGCTGAAAATAGAAGCAATGCAGCTGGTTTTAACCCATTTGTTTGTCAAACGAGTACGGGGGATATTCTCCAGAACCCTCCGGCCGAGGGGGTGTATCAGCGACCAAGCCACTCGAATAAAAAGGTGAACACCTTTTTGTCTGTTCAATACGCCTCTTCAGTTCTGGTCACCCACCAGTGAATACAGCTGTAAATGAGACAGATAATACTATGCTGCGGATCTATAAAAGGGGACCTGGGCTTTTTTATTATAAGGCTTGCCGCTTGTCTGTCCAACAGGATGGAAGGAGCCGAGGTAACAAACCCCCAATGACAGCTAACTAGGAACTACTTGTGAGTTAAGTTTAGGGCCTGAAGCTCAATTAGTTAGTTAGCTAATTAGCTAGTTAGCTAGTTACATAACTAGTTAACTTCCGGGACATGACAGGGCTGCCATTAACTAAGGCGCCCGGATAACCAAGCTATTTGGGCTGGGAAAGTTATAACACCAGTGATAAACAACTACCTACGGAGTACGGAGTACGCCCACTTATAAGGAATTTCTCCGCCCCATACTCAAGTGATATTCCAACCTATTTTAACAGGAAGATAATTTGAAGAACCTTCCTCCTGCAGGAGCAACCTATGGCCGCTTAGGACTTCTAGGCTCTCTCTCACGCCATGTCCTCCCGGCTGTCCTTCCGGATAGGCGTGATGTGAGCCAGTGAACCTGGCCAGAGCAATGACAGGCACCATCCCTGAATCCTTCGCACTGGGGCCGTGGATTACTAGGCCCCC